AATACCCCATGTGCTAAAACAAAGGCGCTTTTTTAACAAAATGAGACACTTACATCAAGTGTCTATGTTGTGTTCTAGATGATATGGAACATTTTGCTTCTTTGCATGCTGATGTAATTCCGACATCACTGTTCCATATTTACTGCCGCTTCTGATAGAAATAGAAAAACTCCATAACCAAATGGTCTGTCCAGAATCTCTTTGACAAAGATTTTGTCGTTGAACAGCTCGTCTTTGTGCTCCGCTGCAATGTACGTGTCTAAAAGAGCACCTTCAACTTTTCCATCCTCCAGCGCTGAACAGAGGTCCTCAAAGTTGGTATTCTTAAATGTGATTCAGTTATAAGTAAGTTGAGACCTATAATTTTGAAAAAGTTTTCTCACGGCTTTACTAATCAACACGTATTTCAAATAGTGCTTTTTTTGCTGCAAGGTTACTCTTCCAAGTGAGTTTGCTTAGATTTCAATCTCAAAATAACCGGCCGCGCAAGCTTGCATCGCAAAGATCAATGTGTTTGATATTGATGATATCAATTGGATTGTTTGCTATGACGTCCACAATAACAAAGCCGGAAAAGAAATGAACAGTCGGCAGTGAATGATATGAAGCTAAACATTATCCTTGTCATGTCAGCTTTTCAATTTTTTTGACACCTCCCCTTACTTATTAAAAAAACGGGCATGTCCAATTTTGGACGAGGGGACCTGTCTAGCAAAACAAAACATTTTTTCTTTTCCACGTTTATGCATCTAGAAAAACACGCAGACTACATGCAGATTAATTGTTTCCTTTTGGTTAAAGAAAAAAAAAGAAGTTATCAAAGAAAAAAGGGAAACTTCAATATCACCTTCGTTTACACTTGCGTTTTTCAAAACGCCGACGCGTTGCTCTGTAGAGTTTTGAATACTTCCAACCTGAAATGACATGAATATGTATCCACACATATGCCAAGCAAACTGAAAACTCAAACGTTGTAAGCAATATAATTATAGTCATTTCGCTGCACAATTTAAAATCAAAGAAAAGGTTAAGGACGCTTTTGTGAGTGGTCAGGACCAAGCAATGAGACAACCAATCAGTCATTTACTAATTCTATTTATCGATCAATCAATTAAACCATCAATCAGTCAGCTGGCCAGTAAATTAGTCAGTCGATTCTAAATCGACCATTAAGTCTATTAGTCAATGAATAATTACCCATTGGATTAATCAGTGCGTAGTTTGTCATTAACATGCTAATCCATTGATGATATGAACTTACCAACTTTTTGTCGCAGAAAGCTTTGCTGGTGAGATTCCATCCAAAGCACAAAAATAGTTAGAAACGTGTTGTAATAGTCTTCGAAATAACTCACCTTTCACCCTTAGATATGGAGAAGCATACCAGTAGTTAATTTAAAGGATTTTCGGACAGACAGGTTTTTAAAAGAGAAGGAAAGACGGAAAAAAAATAGGGAAAATTTTCCATTTCTTTTTTTTTGTCTGAAGGACAAAAATCACTACCCTCTAATAAGCTAATATCCTACCCTCTCCCTCACCTCTCAGTCAACGAGAGAACCAAATCATCACACCACATAGGGAAGCGGTCTGCATTACTCATCCCGTGGGGGCGGGGGTTAGAGGATTTTGTTTGTGTCATGATATAATTGACCTTATCCCCAGTAAGGCTCTGTAGTATGCTTATGAATCCTAATTGGCAGTTAATTGGCCGTAAATTTCAAATATAGATCTTAAAACAACTCATAATGAGGCTGTTATCCTACTTCTCCTCTCCTGGTATTTCACTCCCGCATCCAACTTACCACCATTAACATAATCGCTATACAGGTCCATTCCCTTTTGTGTGAACGCCGCCACTTTAATTTCGTAAATTTACGAGGTTTGAACTTTCAGAAATAGGAAGAGATCCGTTGATCTTGCTATGGCTGTTTCCTCCTCCGTTGGAAGAACTTCCTTTTCAACTGTTTCCGACATAACCGAAAGGCACAGGAATCCAGGTGACCTGAATGAATTCTGCAGCTTTTAGTCTCTCAGCAGCCACCCTTTGAGGAAGCTTGCTGGGCACTAAAGATAAGAAAACAAGCTCGTGACAGAACCATAGATTTAAAGAATCGTTTACGACCAAATGGAAGAAAAAGAAAAGTTGTCAAATAGATTAACGGCAGCTATACTCAAGGATTTGCGTTTGGAAATTGAACAGTGCAGCAAATATCAGCTGATATTCGTTACCGCGAGGGAGGTTTTGTCGAAGCCATTTCTTTTCTGGCTGAAAAAAATAAAAAAGAAAAGAAAACTGCCTTAACGCTTCACTCTATTACACGTGATCAGCACCGTTATATCAATAAATGTGCGAAGTCTTCTCTTTAGCGTTATTGATTCCTGCCAACAAGAAACGAAATCACAACAAAAACAAAAGACAGACGGTCCAGTCCAAACCTCGCGCAGGGATTTATGATTAGCGAAACAAATATAGACCTCTGTATATTTGTAAGTTAGATTTGGCCAGAAAAAAAAAAAAAAATAAAAAATCACATAACGTTTCAAACCTTTCCGGATTAGCAACAACGAAGGTGTTACGCTCTCCATTTAGAGCCAAATATTTCCTTGTTTAAAAGTGAAGTGTGTTATTTTACTTCACATTTTCTTGCTCTGTTAACAGGTCTATCCGCTCTTTTTAACAGATTGATGGCAAAAGCCGTTATGAAACGGATATTTTATTTTTTTTCTGGACAAAAGGTAGGAATATTACCTAGCTTTATCTATTTAGCGGTAAAAGAGTGTATTTCAATAGCAAGTTAATTATCAATAGCCTTGAAGTTCACAGTTTTCCTCGAGCTTCGCTCTAGGAAAAATGTTCGTCTCTCACGAAAAAAGGAGGCTACCATGTTAATT